AAAGTTGATGTATTTCCTCAGCGACCAGCACGGATCAGTTCTAGGCATGATGAAGCGATATCGTCCTCTTTTGGAAACCCAAACAAAGTAGTTTCGCTTTCACAACAAATCACAGCTCCTTCACGACATGGCGGCGGTGGCAGCAACAATACTACAGCGAGAAAATGTGAGCCAAAATCATCACAATTAAAAGAACCAAAGACTTAAACTACTTCAGTCTGTGTGCATTGAATTTATTTAATACACGAGTTTCACAATTTGAGTTGAATCACTGAAATAAATGAACTTTTCCACGACATTCTAATTTATTGAGATGCACCTGTATCTCTTTGGATTTGAGACTTTAGTCTTTGCAACTTTACAGATCTTCTTTATGCACCAAGAGCTTGTAACACTCCAAAGAGAAAGGAAAAATTGAAATCGCATCATATGACCCCTTTAAAGGAAGTAAGGCCGCATGCATGCACGCTGCTGCAGAAAACAGAAGCCGAAGGTGACAGACAAAACAAGCGAGTGAGAAAAAAGCGAGTAAAAAAAAAATAGGGCAGACTGATTTAGTGAACTTAGTGACACGTATATGCAGCAGATCTGATGCAGATCATGTTGCTGTCTGACCTACTAAAGCATTGACATGATCAAAGCCTGTTTATGTTCAACCACAGAATATAATTGTAGCTTTTAAACAGAGAAGGGGGGGTGGAATACAACAGACTCAGGCGACCAACCCCCAACACTATAGTGCGGAATTCAGCTCTAGAGACAACAGCTGCTGCTTGCCTAACAACCATGTGCTCTCTCTCTGTGTCTCTGTTTGTCGCACTCAGCGATCTTGATGACTTATCAGTGGTGTACGAGTTCAGTTTTGTGTTAAGCAGATTGTTTGCTGGTTATCTAACAAGGGTTATCTAATCACAGGTTACATTTCATTCTGAGAATGCCATTCGCAGTCATACAGGTGTCTTTTTCGAAAACTAAAACTATTAAAAATTGTTTTCAGTGATTGAAATGAATATGAAATAAAGTAAAATATAAATATTGGATGAAAAACTTAAACTTAAATGAAAATTTGAAATGTTGCCTTGGCAAATAACTGAAATAAGCAATTAAGTTTAAAGGGTTAGTTCACCCCAAAATGAAAATTCTGTCATTAATTACTCACCCTCATGTTGTTCCAAACTTGTTAGACCTTTGTTCATCTTCGGAACACAAATTAAGATATTTTTGATGAAATCTGAGTGCTTTCTGACCCTCCCATAGACAGATTCAATTATTTTGTTTTCTTTGCACACAAAAAGTATTCTCGTAGCTTCGCAAACTTGAAGTTGAGCCACTGATGTCACATGGACTGTTTTACCGATGTCCTTGCTACGTTTCTGGTTCTGGTAACATTACAGTTGTGTTGCTGTCTATTAAGGGTCAGAAAACTCTCAGATTTCATCAAAAATATCTTAATTTGTGTTCCGAAGATGAACAAAGGTCTAACAAGTTTGGAACAACATGAGGGTGAGTAATTAATGACAGAATTTTCATTTTTGGGTGAACTAAACCTTTATGTTGAAACTAACACCGAAATATGCATAAATAAAAGCTAAACAGAAATATGTTGTCACACAAAAATAGGACAAAAGCACATAACAAAATCACTGAAACTTTAAAATTAAACTGAAAACTGAAAATATAAAAAAATTGTAAAAATAAATACATTTTTTAATAGTATATAAAACAACACAGCCTTATTCAGTGTACTTAATGTGATTATTAAAATTAACAATTATTTATTTATTTATTATTTATTTTTGTTCAATGAAGACCACATTTAAAGCTCTTGGCAAAAGTTCTCTTTATTTTTCCTAACTCAGATTTCATCAAAAATATCTTAATTTGTGTTCCGAAGATGAACAAAGGTCTAACAAGTTTGGAACAACATGAGGGTGAGTAATTAATGACAGAATTTTCATTTTTGGGTGAACTAAACCTTTATGTTGAAACTAACACCGAAATATGCATAAATAAAAGCTAAACAGAAATATGTTGTCACACAAAAATAGGACAAAAGCACATAACAAAATCACTGAAACTTTAAAATTAAACTGAAAACTGAAAATATAAAAAAATTGTAAAAATAAATACATTTTTTAATAGCATATAAAACAACACAGCCTTATTCAGTGTACTTAATGTGATTATTAAAATTAACAATTATTTATTTATTTAT